CAACAGGGGCTTTCTGCTCAAATATCCTTGATTTGCATAAAAAGTTAGAACATTTATGATGATATAATTAAAATTTTAGCATTTTCTTCATTTTTGTGATAAAGAATTCTTTATACTTTTTTTTAGAGTATTGTGAAAATCACAACAAATATTGGCATGCTTGTTTGTTTTAGATATTTTTGGACAGAGCAGCTCCTTTTCCCAGTTAGAAGCTTCAATCAGCATTTCCTCAAACACACTGTTTTGGTGTTCAAAGCCAATTTAAAGCTAGATCAACACAATGTTTTGTTAGTTACAGGGATGAGGAAAATTCACACTTACTTGCTTCCTGATAGGATGGTGGTGGTCCTGGTGTGAATGGTTGTCCATGGTAGGGTGATGTGGACTGAGCTGGATAGCCGGGCTGAGCTGGATAACCGGACTGAGCTGGATAACCGGACTGAGCTGGATAGCCGGACTGAGCTGGATAACCAGACTGAGCTGGATAACCGGACTGAGCTGGATAGCCGGGCTGCACTGGTACTGGCTGGTAGGGCATTCCCTGGTAGGACTGAGATTGTCCAGGTACTGCAGTTGGTTGCTGCGGGTAACGCTGAGGAGTGGTGGTGACCACTGTGGTGTGGGTAGTGGTCGCTATCACAGCTGCAATTAAACAAACAAATAGATTAGAAATATAGAAAACTTTGGCTGTTTTACATGCAGTGTAGGAGTACAACAACAGGAGGAATTATTCAGGTATGGAGATAAAAGGATTCAAACTAGTTTCAGGACATCCTCATAAACCCTTATAAATGTTTATTACACACATAACAAACTCCATAGGCATATGTACTAAATCCACATTGGCTTTGTCGTGATTGCCAGTGCAGAAAGATTTAAACACATTAGGAAAGTAGAGTCAAAGGTATTTGTACTTCCTACTCTGTTTGTATCCAGGAGGATATGAGATAACAGAGGATTACAGACCAACCAACAGCACAAATAAAATGATCCAAATGTCCTGAACTTGTTTGGAACGTGCCACCAAGTTAAACACAACTTGCCTTGGACAAATATGAGGCAAGAGCTACGTAACTCGTATTGCAACTTCTGCATTTAATCAACTGTAAAAACCCAGCTGTCGCAAAAAGAAAAGCATGGCAAGAAAAAAAAAGAAAACAAAAATAGTTTACAGTTTCGATTCCTGCAAATGGATCTTCTAACACTACAGCTTAAACACAGGAGACAGGATATCCTGGCTGGTAATTAGCCAAATAATTAACAGCCAAGATCCAAAA